TATTTTATAGGATAAATCATATTATATTAAAAAAAATTCATAATGAGCAATCAACATTAACTTCTTGTTTTCAATTTGTTTCAAAATTTGACTTCTTGATCATTGACTATTGCTGATTAGCATTGACTGCCATTGACCAACGATAAAAGCTAAGCTCATTTATAAGGTTTTTTTTAGTAGTTCAAAATTACCAAACTAAACTTTTTCTTAACAGGTTACCTGCGAGTAGACAACATATTTTTAATGGGTGACCCAATAACAACCCGATTAGTTAATGTGTTGACCCGAAACACGTTATTTTTTGTGTATGGTTAACAGGTCGTGAATGAAATTGTCAGGTCTACTCAGAGGATGAGGGAGACGAGCCAGAGGCTGCCATTGTATGCATCATCGCAGCAATGTACCACCAAAACTTATCCTCCTACTGGCGTGCAACTTCTTCCCAAGCTTCTTCTTGCTGGCTTATGGTCTCTAATTGCATCTCTACCCAGAAGACATCCTGCTTTGAGGCTAGCAACTAGATGAAGAAGAACCCCCAAAATCCCAATCCTGACCTGCTTTATGGCCTTGGTGCTCTCAACCTTTCCGTCGCCCAACCACGTCTATCAGTAATTGTAGAGACACATCTGGATCAGGTGTCAATTGTTCCATTAGCGTGTCCGGATGCTGTTAGGAAAGGTTGGCAAGGTACTTGTCATTCTTCTGCGACATAGAAGCCTATAAAAAAAATAAAATAAAAGGAAAGCAATTAAATTTGTCGATCATAATTTTAAATTTTTTAAGTGTAAGGAAATTTGAACTTAAAATTTGAACGGAGTACTTACATAAATGTTGTCAGCCACCTGGTTGCCATAATTGGCATGACCCTTAGTTTCGATCTCCAGGAAAAGTGAACCCTTCTCACTCCGTTCCTCGACCCGAAAACCAAAGTGATTGAAGTACTACTTCGCTTTCTAGTTACCCTTACTTGCCTTTGATGTCTGCTGTGAAATTAAGAAACAAAAAATTAAAAAATCTAGAAATGGATTGGTCAGAGCTTCAGCAAGAGATGCACAAGTCTAGAAGTACATATGCTATGCAACTCGTACTTTCACTTCTTATACCACTCAGTCCACACTCGGTTTAAGTACTCATACATACCCGACACTTCCATGTCAATCTCAAAGTTGACTTGAAATAGACAAAAAACAAGTGTTTAGTTTAAAAATACACAAAAAAAGGATAAAGTAAAAATAATAATAAATTTGAAAAAAACACACGTTTACTTAAGATCTCTTTCACCATTGCCTCCGGCACCTCAGGGGCGAGCTTCCTCCATGTTGGGGGCGACCATGGAGCTCTTGGTGTGGATGATGGCTCCCATGTTGTGAGTCAACAGGCTGTTGGCTTTGAGGTCAAGCGTTATGTTGGTGATCCGATTCAAGGACAAGCCTCTATAGATCCCCAGCACTTTGACCTTCTTCCCGCCCGAATTGGGAGTTTCCCATCTCCCGTCGGGGGCATGGCCGCTGAATCATCATCGGCCTCCGCTGCGTCACCAATTGGTTAGGGTTTAGTTTATTATAAATAGAGTGTTTTTGCTTTAGTAGAGATCAATTCAATCAAGGTGTAGCATTTAGTTTGTAGCTAGCTGTCTCACCAATTTTATTGTTGGTTAATAATAGTTTCATAGTTTGTTTATTCGTCTGTTTGATACTCGGATTTTCAACTCTGGTTAACTTTAAACAAAATTCCTATCTTTCTCATTCTTGTATTAAATTAATTGAGAATTCTATTTGAGCACAAGTTATTCAGCGTCTCTGATTTCACCTAATTGCAACGACAAGCATCATTTTAATTTCATGTCATAAATTTACCAATTTTGACAAATATACATATTTGAGATGTAGAATTAAAATTTTCCTCAAATAAGCCATTGGATGCTTGAATGCGAACCCTACTAGCAAAGCCAGGAATTGACGGGGGGAGGGGCGAAGTTAAAAGAGTGCAAGGTTCAAAAGAATAGCAACAACCAAATCATTTTATATAGTAATGTCTTCCATAATTTATCAACATAAACAAATTACAATTGTTGCCGACGACGTTTCATACCATGAAAACGTCACATAATAGGCTCATTATCAATAAAAGCAAATACATCTCTCTCTATGTAAACAAGCATACTATCACTCAACCATTGATCTCCCATTTTGTTACGCAATGGTGTTTTCACAATCTTCATAGCAGAAAAAGCTCTCTCCACCGAAGCGGTTGCATGAAGATTAGCCAATATCTCATCCAACTCAGTGGGCTCACTTTGTTGTGAACTACTCAGAATATTCAAAGGATGACTTCTTATATTTGAAGGAGGAGGAGGATGACTACTTGGAATATTTGAAGGAGAAGGACTACCCGAAATGTTTGAAGGAGGATTTAAGCATTGTTTCTTATAGTAATGTTCCATTACGTAACTGTAAAATGAAAAGAAAAGAAAAATCTTAGACTCTTAATCCTAGAGTAGACTATACTAATATGCATAATAACCCAACCAACAATTCAATTAATCAATACCAATAAGCATATAAATTATTAAATAAATAAAAAATTCATTCAACTAATCATATGAATACAACTAATCAAAAATTCAAATTTTAATTTTCACCCTAAAAAATAATTTCATAATTTCATATCAATCAATAATCATAGAATCATATCAATAATCAATAATCAATAATCAATAACCATATTAGTGCATTACCATATGATTCTATACTAATTAAACAAAATTCGTATTAAATAATTAATTAGGGTTAGGGATTATAAATTTAGGAATTATAAAATTTACCTTTGAAATTGAAGGCTAGAAGTCGGCTTAGCGGCTGGAGTGGCTAGTGTTAGCAGCAAAAAGCCAACAGAAATTAGCCAATGGGGATTTATTTTCCGTTCCGTTGGGGTTGTGCGTTGGCTGCAGGCTCAGGCTGCTGAGATTTTGGGAGAAGCTTTGCACTCTCTCTCTCTCTGATTGGGGAAGGGAGAAATTTGGAATGGTAAAGCATGACACGCGGGCTGACTAAGTGAAGGACTGGGGGACATGCCACGCGGTCCCCCCAAAACATATATATTTTTTTGGTTTTTTTCAAACATTGAAAGTTTCACGTGGAGGGGCACTAATTTGAAACAGACATGAGACATGGAGGGGCCTAACTTTGGGACATGCGGGCCAGATTTTAAATTTTTTATTAATTTAAAAGGAAAAAAAAGAACCCAGTGCTGCTGCACGCAGCAGCAAAACCAGTTCACCGGTGCCAAAACAGAGATGGAGGGGCTGGGTTTTCCGGTGAGGGGAGGGGCGAAACCTCGGCTTCAACTGTGTTTTCCGGCGAGGGGAGGGGTGGTCGCCACTCCTCGTCCTCACGTGGCTTCGCCACTGCCTACTACGATCACCATGTTTCCATACAATCAGAAATGTTCCGGTGTTTCCAGGGGCATCTGAACGTTCTACGACTCGGATTCCCCGGCCCTTGGGTTGACAAATGACAATCCGACAAACTGGTTGTTGGATGCCACCCCCTTGTTCTGCAGACAAATACTTCTTCAGTGCTTTGTGAACTTAAAGCGCACTTTTGTCCCATCCTGCCAGTTAAAATCGAAATTCAGGCATATATAGCTCGATCATTGCATGTGTGAAATTTGTAACAGCATGCTCTTAGAAAAACAGACAACACTAATATAATTATGGAAACTTTAACGAAAAGTTCCCGGTACTGTCATATTTTTACACTAAAAAGTTAATCCTGATACTATTCATTTTACCCTTTATTTTGTCATTATCATTAAAACTCAAAATTTTCAAATTATTTTCATTAGTTTTGCTTATAATTATATTATATTATATATATATGTGTGTAAGTGCGTGCGCGCGCGGGGGCGCGTGTAGTAATATTACGAAAGGACAAGGATTGTCTACCCTCGCGTGTCCTCCTGTTTGTGTAGTAACGGTTAAGCCACGTCAACATTTTATATTACTATTTATTTTTGTCTTATTATCCTTATAAAAAAAATAATATAAAATATTAACATAGCTTAACTATGATTACACAAAACAAGAGGGTACGAGAAAGCAGACAATCCTTGTCCATTACCAAAAGATCATTGTTGGGGATTCCTTCAAAGAGACAAGATTTAATCCAACCCTCAATGAGCAGCCAATTCCCAAGATTACATCTTTGAATTCTGTGCTAGGGAAAGAGAAACTCAAAATATGATTATGGCTCCTTAAACTACAGAGTATGATTGTAGTACAATTTTTTTTTTTTGGGAGCACATGAGGTAAAATTTAACTTAAAAATAGCATAAATTGTTATAAATAGCATAAATTGTTATTAGCCTCCAATTGTAATGTATAATCCTACTTTTTTTCGTAGACTAGTTTGATGTATTTCCACCGGTGTGGATTTGCCAAGGCATCCGGGCACTTTATGGTAAAGCCCAGCTCCACGGAAATGGATCTTTTCTAGATCTTTTCCATTACGGTCATCAGATTAAATGATCTGGATCTTCAAAATTTCATTCAATGATAAAAATTTATTATAACTTTTAAATGATCAAAACAGTTGGGTCATTGGATGAAATTTTAAAAGTCCAGATCATTTGATCTAGTGATCTTGGTAGAAGAGATCCGGAATCCAGCTCTTCCGATGTGGATTACTCTAGACAGGTGGTGGGCCCCACGGAACCCAGACAGCTTCTCAGGCCTTCCCGACCCATGCAGGTTCCCAGGTAGATGATGGGTCCCAGATGATTTCAGCGCAAGTGGCTCAGATAGCTGTCCATCTCCACCATTTAATCTCTAATAGTTTGGCGATCTAACGGTCTATTTTTTTTCAACTTTTAAAATGAAAATAAAATGTAAAATAAATGTTTAAAAAATATATAAAAAAATGGAAAATCCAGAAACAAGTTTTTCCAAATGGTGCAAAACAAAATATTCAACAGTTACACACTTAAAACGCGCCAAAGCATCAGTAAAAAGCTAATGCATTTATTCCTTTTATTTCTTTTTCTGTAGTACAATTTGAGGTCCAATATATTTATCAAAAACAAAATAGAGTTTCAATATATATATATATATATATATATATATATATCATAATCTGTAAAACCTAATTAAGGTTAATGTAGTTGTTTTCAATCATCCACTTGAGGCTCCAATGGTTGTATTGACACTTATAAGCCCAATATGCCCATCCAAAAGTGGCACGCCCATACACATCTACTTGGGCACTTGCAAATCTCTGGTATTCTTCCTTTGATGCTCCATTTATCGCCCATTCGGCAACCCATTCCCCTGTACGTACAATATATTCTCATCAATAAGCCAGCTAAAACAACTCTTATGAGGAAAAGTGTTTCTTACCATTACTTATTGCTTAATTAATAGTAACTTACCAACAAATGTGAGGGGTACACCACTGGAAGTGGTCACAGTATCGAGATCCGAAGCTCGTTGGTTGTGGATGAAATCGATGTTTTGTTGCACGCTGAAGCTGTTGAACATGTCTGAATAGAGGCTGTAGTAATGCACATCTACGACCACACGATCGAGGCCTTGGGCAAATGAGAGAAGCTCCTTTGCATCAGCTGGTCCTAACCGGTTCGATAAGACGACATAGGCCCTTGAAGTGTACTTCCTTACTGCATCATAACCGGCTTTGTAATAGTTTTTGAGGCTGTCTAGAGTAACACCTGGTGCCATAGGCTCATTCATTAACTCAATTGCAGCAAGAGCTGGATGGTTAGCGTATCTGTTTGGGAAAAGGGAAAGGTTCACATTAGTTGTTACTTTGCTACGATTAAGCTTAATTCTTGTATACGTTTGCTTCTGTATTATTTGTTTAGTGAAGAATTGAACACGTAAGACCTTGCAGCTAAGAAATCTATAACTGCCACAGTATCCTGTATTTTGGAATTTCCCCATTCAAGATAGCCATCTCTTGTTGCACTGTGATCATTGCCGTTTTGAGAACCTTCAACTGCATGTAGATCGACGATCACCTTCATCCCGTAATTTCTGCAGATATGTTCATAGAGGGAAACAGTAAAAATACTATAATTTGAAGTATTTTTCTCTTTCTGTTCTCTAAAATATAAGTTATTGTTCTAAAATTAAATACCAATATATAGATGACACAATACGTGCAACGACTTACTGTGCCCAAGAGAAAGCATTGTCAAGGGCTTTCAAGGAGCCACCAACAAAAGGCTTAGGTGGTGATGGATCTTTTGCAATCCACCATCCAACCGGGATCCTCACCGCATCCAAGCCGTTTGAAGACAAGAATCTGAAATCATCTTCGGTGATGTAACTGTTCCAGTGATCCTGTTAACCATGGTTTGAATTGAACTTTATTATTTATAATCATTAATTGATTACTTGCGTCTGATGTGCCTGGTAATACTAATGATCAGTTACCTGCAAAACTTGAGGAGCTCTGTCTGGACCATAACCATTTGTGATTTGGTATTCACCTCGCAAGGTCTTGTCACTTAATATTGTCATTATGAAGACAGATGGGTTATCGTCTTCCCAACCGGAGCCCCCATAATCTGCAGTCAACTGCGTCTCGGATGTTGCCTAAGTACGACGAAAAACATGATTTTGATGCCATTAGTTTTCCAGTTCCTCAACATAAAAGACTTGGTCTATACAGTTAAAAGACCATTTTAATTTAGTAATAGAATAGTTATATGGTCTGTCAATTATATATGTTCTTTATCTTATAAGAATGTTCACATACTGAAGTGAGATCAGATATAATATGTATGTGACAAATAAATGGATGTTCGTTCAATACTACCAAAAGAAAAAGCACCTGCAGAAATAAACCATTGGATGCTTGAATACAAACTCTATTTGGATCACCATCTTTCCTTACAATCCGAAATGTTTCTGAATTGCCTGGTGAATCTGAAACTGCGACAACGTCCCGGTTTGACAATCCCACAAACTGCTTGTTGAACACTCTAAAATTGAAAGACGATTCATCGATCCTCCACAACTGTATGCATTATACAACGAGTCAAATTCTTACCGTAAGAATTGAAGTTAATTTCTATGATTAATCAAAGTTGACATTAAGAGCATATATACCCTAAAAGTTTCCCAACCAGACGCTGAATCGCGGTTCACAACAACAGTGGAACCAGAACCACCCCCATTTTCTGCAGCAAGATACTTCTGCAGCTTTGTGGACTTGAATTGAACTTGTGTCCCATCCTGCCAATGATATTCAAAATCAGTAAAATATTATCGGTGACTTTTTTGACGGAAAGACGGTTAGATTATTGAAATACATTACGAAATAATAACTCTAAAAAATACATCAAAATACATGTCAAAACATGTTTCCCTCAATTCTGACATACACACACACATATAATATATGTATATATATGTCATGTATGTAGCAGACGTACCAAAAGGTCATTGTTCGGAATTCCATCAAAGAGAGGAGGTTTCATCCAACCCTCTATAAGAAGCCAATTCCCAAGATTCACAGCTTTGAGTGGCAAATTGATATCTTGTGCTAGGGAAACAGGAACAACACATAACAATAGGTACAAAGCCAGGACATGGTGATATCCCATCTTTCAACCCTTCAATCTCTCAATCAGAAATGAACGGAAAAGGCAGCAGGTGCTTGTTATATAGAAGCAACAATTTGGTAAAGTTAAAACAGTAACGATGAAATATTTCTAACGTTTGATTAAATAAATATAAAAACTTCGATGAACTGAGTTGACTAAGAAATTAGCGTTCCAATAAGTTCAACACGTCGAGGAGGAAGAAAGTCTACATTTGATTATTGTTGCCATGACCTAGTTCAACACGTCGAGGAGGAAGAAACTCTACATTTGATTATTGTTGCCATGACCAGCCAAAGGTGGGAAGAATTATTGCTTTCGCCTTACATGGAATTTTATGTCAATCATGGGATAATTAGTTTCTATGATTCAGCAGCAAAGGTGGGAAGACGTATTGCCTTCTTAAAGGATCTTTGGTTTAAGGTCAATCAAATATGTTTTACGAAGCGATATTCTACACTAATTTACATTAAAAAGAGCAACAGTGCTTAAACACAAGATGCAATGAATTGAAGAAAAATGTGCTAACTATTAACTAAGTCAATGACTTTTTTAGTCCACTACTTATTTACTAAAGCGTTTATATTGGCTCAAGCGTGTTCGTGTACCTTTTTCAATGGGGTTGCGGTTGCTTGACTTTTTCTCTCTCTTATCTTGACTTTTTCTTCTTTTATCCAACTAGCAATTGCTAAAAGGGCTGCCATGTGTTTCCATGAGAGAGAGAGAGAGAGAGAGAGAGAGAGAGAGAGAGAGAGAGAGAGAGAGAGAGAGAGAGAGAGAGAGTATTCTTGACAACTTTAGTTTTATAAAAATTTCATATTAGAATAAGAATAGACCTTAAATGTGTTTATAAATAATTAAACTATCATTCTTTTGGTACTAAAAATTATCATTCTTTTGATACTAAAGATTATCAAGCCTGCGTGGCGGGCAGGCTAAGTAACTATGTTCTTCTTGTGGTTGATGTGGACATGTAAACTTGACACAGAGGTGAATTGAGCGAGAGTAAGATGAATGTAGTGGTGGTGTCGAATCACGCTGTTAACTTTTGGGCCGAGCGACCATGGCCAAGGAAGGACACTCTCACCCTAGTGGTGGTGTCGAATCACTAATCTTCATTAAAAGGAGATTGAAAGTAAGTTTCAATTCACCATTGATCAGTAAAGGTTCTAATTACCAACTGCCTCGCTAATTAGAACCTAATGGGTTGTACACCATGTATGGTTGAGATTGAAGAAAACAATGGAGTTGAGTAAGGCCATTTAAATGGTTAATTATTTATGGCGATGATTAATTAATATGTGAATTAATCAAACGAATAAGATCGTTTTAAACCTCGGGTTAGTTTCGGGCTTCAAGGCCCAATGGGCTTTGAATAGTCAAGCCCATTAACTTAAATTGTATGACAACTTACAACATAAAGGGCCAAAAAACCCAATCAACTCACCATGGCGGCCATACATAGGGTTTTGGTTTAATTTCAATTATGTCACTCAATGTGAGCGACTATAACAGGAAATTTATATGCCAAATTCATTTAGGGCTTCATGAGGGAATTGGAGAGAACAAAAGCTCCCTATTTTCTCTTTTGAAGACCGACCTTGAGGGGGAAGAACACTAGCATCTTCTTCTCCCTTAGTCACTCATCTCTTCATCAACCTCTAATTGGTCTAGAAACATAGAGGACCCTTTCTTGGGAACTTGGATGATCCATTCATCCATTCAACTCCAAGAAATCCATGGAGCAAATAAGCAAGAAATAAAGGCTCACTCTTGGGTGAGTAGCCTTTGCTTATGCAAACAAAAATCCTCAAAGGTATAAGAAGTCTCAACTCTATCTGTCTTTGATTTGAGTTGAGTCTTGGTTCACAATTACTAGGCTTTAAATTTCATGGTAAAGTTTAGATTTTGAGTGCCTACAAACATGACTCTGCCTTTTAATTCTTAAATGCATGTGTTAATGTTGCTCAAACTACTCGTTGCAGCATGATCTTGTCCGAAGCTTCTAACTACTCGTTGCCTTGTGGGTATCGTAGAGTAGAGGTAAGGTGACAGATGCCAAGTTCTTTATACTAGTCTGTCACTTCAGAGATGATGAAATGTAGTCTATTGTCTATAAGTATGGTATGAAGGTATACTAAAATGACAAATTTATCCACGTATAGTTTCCAAAGACGAAGATTCTTGAGTGTTTTCCGCAGATCTACAAAGGTAGGGACATCTTTATTCATCAGGGTAAACTCCATTACAAAGTCTACTAGCACATGAGCCTTAATCTAAGTATTGGATGAAAGATGACTTGGTGCTACCCCAATTTGATGACCTATTTTATGATTCTGGATGACACGTCAAGACTATGTAGGAAGGATTAGAATGGGTACTTTTTCAAGTACACCACTCAGAACGACTAGAAGTATGGTCCAAACTCTAGCTGCCGTCACCAGCTCAGGGATGAGCTTTTCCATCTTCGGGTATCTGGTTTTTGGTTCAAGGAGAGCTTTTGATACATAGTATACCAATTTTTGCTCCCTCAAGTCTTCTCAAATCAAAGCTGCACTGACCACACAATTTGAGACCACTAGCTATAAGTGCAAATATTCCCCATGTTGGAAAATTTATATTATAATATTAATTTATTAATTGAATTGAAATTAGAAGTGAAGCCTTTTGGTAGAAAGATGTGTCTATTCAAATGAAACTTTTGACTCTTCATGAATAGTCATATGATTTTCAAAGAGGTATCTCACATTCTATAAATAGGGAAGCCCCCTATAGTCATTAAATAACTTTTCATCAGACATATAATACATTAAATATTAAAGTGTGTCATTGAGTAATATGAGAAAGTATTCAACACAATCGTGGTTCATTGGAGCCTTGTAATTTAGAGTGCTACTATTACAAGGACATGGTCGTTGTACCTTGAGAGAAGCACCGATCAACCATAAGTACCTGAGTGGGGCTTAAACTTGTCATAAGGACAAAATGTCCAACACTTGCCTCGACCATATTTCCACTTTTTTTCTAATTCATGATGGCATGTTCAATTAACATTGGTTACTCATGTACATGCATCATTTTGATATATAATTGCATGATTTATTTATTGATTTTCTATGTGATTTAATAAAGCAATTAAACCCTATATTTCCAACAATCTTAAGACAAGTTTATTGGTTTGATTGCTCCCGTGACAAAGTAAAGGTTGATCCTAATGACATGGTCTGTCTTTCACATTTATTCTATCATGTTTTTGTCCTATTGATTAATTTTTATGGTAGAATAGTCTGGTATGTAGTCTTGGTTTACTGCAAAACTGTTTGTTTGTATTCTTGCCTAGTTAGTTACTTCTTTGCCATGCAGTAAGTTTCAGTTTGTAAAGTAAGGAACGTTTGGGAGTGTTTTGTTTACGACTAACACTGTATAATATATTCACAGTTTTCAAATGATGGTCAATCGAGTGTTTGACAAATTAATTAATCAGATTTCCAAGTGGTTGACATGCCAACTGGGAAACGATTACATACATTTATCTTGTATATTGTGAATTATATAAGAATGTGTTGGTTTCTATATAACTGTTGATGCAACTAATTAAGATAAGAAGCTTTTAAGATTCCATGGAAAGATTGATCATCGGCTAGATATGTGTTGAAGGTTGTATATACAGTAAACAGAACAACACAAGAATTTTGTAAATTGTTGATGATGATGATTAAGATAGAAGATTATTTGTCTTGTATATTTATTAGAAATTAGTCTCTAACTGTTTTAAATTAATGTCAATTTGATTTTAACTTCCCTTGGCATTTTGGGCATGTCGCCCTACTGGCAACGTTTTAAAGTTTGAGGTCTGATAAAATTATTATTCATGTCGCCTAATTTGCATTGTTGTTAATTATTGGTTTGATTGCTATATTATATCTGTTTTGAGAATAATATATGAATTATTTATTAATTTTCTATGTGATTTAATATAGCAATTAGACCCTATTAGTCCAACACCCCATCCACTAGCGTATGCCTCCTCGCATTCGTCTATATAGAATACACTTTTGCTCTTTTTTATCGTTGTGAATAAGGGCTTGCACTTGTTGGTGGATCATGAAAGAAATTGCCTGAGGGCAGCCGCTCTTCCAGTCAAGTTTTTGTCTCCTTCACTGTCCTAGGGGACTTCATCTTTATGGTCATTCTGATCTAGAAAGAATTGGTTTCTATTCCGCGCTTAGTGAGTAAGTAGCTTAGGAACTCGCCCAAAGCTACTCTGAAAGTACATTTTTCCAAGTTAAGCCTCATGATGTACTTGTGAAGTAGATCGAAGGACACTTGAAGGTTGGGTAAAGAGATCTTCTTTGCCTTTGATGACCATGTCATCTATGTCGACTTCCATCATTTCTTCGATCTTTTCCTTGAATATATGATTGACTAGTCTTTGAAAGGTTGCCCCTACATTTTTAAGACCAAAGGGCATAACCTTATAGCTGTACGTACCTCAACCATTCACTAGTAAAAAAAACACTTTGCGCGACGCAGGTCCTTCGTCGCGCAAAGTCAAAAAACGTCGCGCAAAACTTTGCCCAACTCACCTTGGTCATTCGCAAACCGTCGCGACAAGGCAATGACAGAAGGCTTTGCGCGACCAAGGTGAGTTGGGCAAAGTTTTACGCGATGTTTTTTGACTTTGCGCGACGAAGGACCTGCGTCGCGCAAGTGTTCTTTGCGAGACGTAGTTGTACCGTCGTCGCGCAAAACAGTTTTGCGCGACGCATTACTACGTCGCGCAAAGACCACTTGCGCGACGTCCTGTGTGTTGTCGTCGCGCAAACATACTTTGCGTGACGAAATGATCTACGTCGCGCAAACATATTTTTCTACTAGTGTATTGGCGAATGGTGTTTTCTCTATGGATGTCTTGTACATCTTGATCTATTTATAGCCGAAGTAGGCGTCTATCAAGCTCAGCAACTCAATGTCTGCTATAGAATCCACCAACAAATCGATTCGCAGAAGAGGGTAGGGATCCTTGGGGCATGTTTTGTTCAAGTTTGTGAAGTCTATATAGATTCTCCATTTCATGTTCTTCTTTTGCATGTGCACCACAT